TTGAAAAATTTTTGTCTTTTTTCGTTGCTTTTCTTGTTGTTTATCTTGTTGTTGTTTGAAAAAGTATATATACTTGTTCTGGCCATATACCGAGTTTTATTTTATTAAGCACTTGAGGTTTGGCTAGTCTTCTACTTTGGTGCACTATATATTTGGCCAAGTAGATATTATTTTTTTATATATTTTCTCTTTGTTTTGATACTTGTAGTCTCTTGTATAAGTAGGTTAAGAACTTATTTCTACAGTAATAGACCTTGCTTGTTGTATTCTTGAAATCAGGGTCTTGTCAATTTTTTTCTTTATTATTTTTTAAGTTTATATATTTAGAAATCAGTAGTTTTTAATTAAATTTGTGCTTTAGATACCTTGATATAGAAAAAAAGTTTAGTCTATAGTCATTTGATTACTTTAAATAATCAAGTTATAAATTTGGAACAAAAGTATCTGCAAAAAATCTTTCAGTTTTGGAAGTGGCAAGAGAAGAATTTTTTCAAAAGACTTGACTTTAGAAAGTCATTACTAAAAAGAATTGATTAAGAATTTAAGTAGCAAATTTAGAAATTGAGATTAAAGAATTAAAAAAGAGAATACAGTAAAATGAGAATAGAAATTATTTTTGTAATATTTTGTAAATAGTTAATAAAATTTTAAAATCTAATCCTAATAATAATAATTGTATTTAAAGTATTAAAATTAATAAAATTTGTAATAAATAAAGCTAATTCAAAGTTTTAATAAATAATAAAATTATGATAAATAAAGTTAATAAATAAAATTGTAACAAATAAAATTGTAACAAAATAAAATTAGAATAAATCTATATTTCGCACCCTGCAGTATGCTTATATATAGCACCTCACATGATCTATATACCACCATAATATAAAATGCATAACAATAATAGCAAACTGCTAGCATATAATAATTTGACAAGAAATCAATTACAAACTACATATTTATGATATAAAGTGTAAGTGTATAAATAATTGTTGTGATTGATCTTATAATTAAGCATATTAGAATAGAATTACAAGTATCAATTATAAGCAACAGTCAAATGCATAAGTGATAAATAAAATAGTTAGCTGTTAGTGCAATTAGTATAAGAAACATTGATAGTTCGAATAATTAGCTGTTAGTATAATTAGTATAAAAAATATTAATAGATCGAATGGTTAGTATGATTAATAGAAAAAACATATAGTAGCAAACTTGCATATTCTTTCCGCTTGGTTTGTAAATTGTTCTAAATAAAGTTAAAGACAAATAAAGTTCTATGCAACAAAATAATATATCATATCTAATTATTAATCTGAATAAAATTGTATACGATACTCTTATATTTTGCACCCTACAAATTAAGTGATAAATAAACCAGCTATTATATAATAAGAACTAACTTCATAAATCACTTTCTTACAGTATTCCAAAATTTTTTAGCAGCACAAAAATCCTAAAAAGAATCAAAATCCTAGAAAGAATTAGAAAAGATGAATATAGAATTAACACCTCTAGAACTATTGGAAACTAAATTAGAAGACCTATTTGAAATGCAGCAATATAATAAGCAAAAATAACATACAACAAAAAGAAAATATACATAAAAATAACTTATCTTAAAACAATGCAGTCACGTTTGAAATGCATGAAGAAACAGAAGAAGAAAATCGATATACAACTAGATACAAAGATCAGTTAAATAAAGTGCAAAATGATGATATTATTAATAATAGGTTAGTATTTGGAGCGGAACATATAGTTATTAAGAGATCAATAATCGAAAATATAGAGCTTATAAATGGTATGTGTCTTATAATTTAGCTATATATCATCTGAACTATATACTGACAGATATGCTAGATTTTATATCATCAGAAAACATTCCAAAAGATATAAAGTTTGATACTTGGAAGCTAGTAGAAGGATTTTTTGCTGAATATGATATATGAAATAGGTTTGGGATTAATAAATATCAGATAGAACGTAGTAAATCCGGAGAAGTTTAGAAGAGAACCTTCATCTGCAAATTTGATAGAAAATATAAGGCAAAAAAAAATCTATCAGTAGCACAAAAAAGCACAATGTAAAACGAAGACTAAGAAGCGAGAATGTCTATAGCATTGTAATCTCTCATTAGGTGAATATAGATCTCAAATAGAAATTACCACACTAGTTAATAAGCACAACCATAAACTATCAGCAGAAACTTGTAAATTCAGAATCAAGTATAGGTTGTTAAGTGAAGAGGTTTTAAAAGAAGTAAAAATGATGACTAAGCACACAAATCTTTTAATTACTATTCAAAGAAGTCTTTTTAGGGCCCGGTTTCCTGATTTAAACTTTCAGGATTCTGATCTTGATAATGCAATCCAAAGATATAAAAAGTCCAATGCTAACAACAATACACACAACAATAATGATACATCAACTTTACTTACATTATTGATAGAAAAGAAAGTCTTAAATCCACAATGGGTTGTTGAATTTAAACTCGACAAAGACAATCACTTAATTCAGCTCTTATGGATATCCCCTGAACAGATGAACTTATGGCTAAGATATCATGATGTAGTGGTTAATGATAATACGGCACACACAAATAAGTACCAAATGCCACTAAATCTCTTTATCATCATAGACAATAATAAAAAGACTTGGCTAGTTTGTCAAACCTAGGTCAGTAATAAAATGTTGGATACATATGTATGGATTTTAAGTTCTATAAATAAAGTTATAGATCGACCACCAATCGTAATATTCATGGATACAGATCTAGCATTAGATTCTGCAATCTCTATCGTATTTCTGACTACATACATGGCTCATTGCATATATTATATTAGTCAGAATTTATCTAAGAATTTGAAATCTAAGCTAGAAGACAAATAGAATGAATTTATAAAAGATTTTTACCAGTGTCAAAATAGTTTATATAAGCCGCTTTTCGAAAAGAAATGGAATGATCTACAAAAAAATTATCCAATAGCAAAAGATTATTTGCTTAGAGTTCTTGATCCAAGTCATAAGTCCTGAGCACATGCATATTTGCACAAGATTTTTATAGCAGGAATAAAGAGTACTGCACATGTAGAAGCATACAATTGGATAATTAAGTAAGAATTAAAGTCAAGTTGTACTTTATATGAGCTTGCAGATCACCTAGATCAACGTTTGAAAGATAAAGATCAATGGAAATGATTTTATAAATATAAATCTTCAACTACCACATTAATGATACCTATAGCCGACCAGGATTTCTTTCTATGATTAATAAGGAATTAGAAGAATATTTAACTGAAGCGATAAATAATAAAATTAAAACTAAAATAAGTTAGTGCCTTTTTCTTTGCACAAATAGAATTGAATCTTCAAATGAAGACTTAACTCAGGAATTTAACTCAGAAACAGGTAAATGATTGATAAAAATGATAGTATTATTATACGTGATCTAACAAAATTAAATATAGAATAATGAAACCTGTGATGGATTCATTGAAGATCACTATGATACCAAAAGAATGACGCTTTAAGCTCTAATCAATGAAGTTGGGCATAAGGATTTAAAAGAAATTTGGAAAATTTCAGACTTACAGAGTAAAAAGCATTACGTTCATTTTATAGTAATTGCTAATCCGATTTTATTTTTATGCTTCAGTTAAATATTCTTCTAATTCCTTATTAATCATAGAAAGAAATCCTGGTCGGCTATAGGTATCATTAATGTGGTAGTTGAAGATTTATATTTATAAAATCATTTCCATTGATCTTTATCTTTCAAACGTTGATCTAGGTGATCTGCAAGCTCATATAAAGTACAACTTGACTTTAATTCTTACTTAATTATCCAATTGTATGCTTCTACATGTGCAGTACTCTTTATTCCTGCTATAAAAATCTTGTGCAAATATGCATGTGCTCAGGACTTATGACTTGGATCAAGAACTCTAAGCAAATAATCTTTTGCTATTGGATAATTTTTTTGTAGATCATTCCATTTCTTTTCGAAAAGCGGCTTATATAAACTATTTTGACACTGGTAAAAATCTTTTATAAATTCATTCTATTTGTCTTCTAGCTTAGATTTCAAATTCTTAGATAAATTCTGACTAATATAATATATGCAATGAGCCATGTATGTAGTCAGAAATACGATAGAGATTGCAGAATCTAATGCTAGATCTGTATCCATGAATATTACGATTGGTGGTCGATCTATAACTTTATTTATAGAACTTAAAATCCATACATATGTATCCAACATTTTATTACTGACCTAGGTTTGACAAACTAGCCAAGTCTTTTTATTATTGTCTATGATGATAAAGAGATTTAGTGGCATTTGGTACTTATTTGTGTGTGCCGTATTATCATTAACCACTACATCATGATATCTTAGCCATAAGTTCATCTGTTCAGGGGATATCCATAAGAGCTGAATTAAGTGATTGTCTTTGTCGAGTTTAAATTCAACAACCCATTGTGGATTTAAGACTTTCTTTTCTATCAATAATGTAAGTAAAGTTGATGTATCATTATTGTTGTGTGTATTGTTGTTAGCATTGGACTTTTTATATCTTTGGATTGCATTATCAAGATCAGAATCCTGAAAGTTTAAATCAGGAAACCGGGCCCTAAAAAGACTTCTTTGAATAGTAATTAAAAGATTTGTGTGCTTAGTCATCATTTTTACTTCTTTTAAAACCTCTTCACTTAACAACCTATACTTGATTCTGAATTTACAAGTTTCTGCTGATAGTTTATGGTTGTGCTTATTAACTAGTGTGGTAATTTCTATTTGAGATCTATATTCACCTAATGAGAGATTACAATGCTATAGACATTCTCGCTTCTTAGTCTTCGTTTTACATTGTGCTTTTTTGTGCTACTGATAGATTTTTTTTTGCCTTATATTTTCTATCAAATTTGCAGATGAAGGTTCTCTTCTAAACTTCTCCGGATTTACTACGTTCTATCTGATATTTATTAATCCCAAACCTATTTCATATATCATATTCAGCAAAAAATCCTTCTACTAGCTTCCAAGTATCAAACTTTATATCTTTTGGAATGTTTTCTGATGATATAAAATCTAGCATATCTGTCAGTATATAGTTCAGATGATATATAGCTAAATTATAAGACACATACCATTTATAAGCTCTATATTTTCGATTATTGATCTCTTAATAACTATATGTTCCGCTCCAAATACTAACCTATTATTAATAATATCATCATTTTGCACTTTATTTAACTGATCTTTGTATCTAGTTGTATATCGATTTTCTTCTTCTGTTTCTTCATGCATTTCAAACGTGACTGCATTGTTTTAAGATAAGTTATTTTTATGTATATTTTCTTTTTGTTGTATGTTATTTTTGCTTATTATATTGCTGCATTTCAAATAGGTCTTCTAATTTAGTTTCCAATAGTTCTAGAGGTGTTAATTCTATATTCATCTTTTCTAATTCTTTCTAGGATTTTGATTCTTTTTAGGATTTTTGTGCTGCTAAAAAATTTTGGAATACTGTAAGAAAGTGATTTATGAAGTTAGTTCTTATTATATAATAGCTGGTTTATTTATCACTTAATTTGTAGGGTGCAAAATATAAGAGTATCGTATACAATTTTATTCAGATTAATAATTAGATATGATATATTATTTTGTTGCATAGAACTTTATTTGTCTTTAACTTTATTTAGAACAATTTACAAACCAAGCGGAAAGAATATGCAAGTTTGCTACTATATGTTTTTTCTATTAATCATACTAACCATTCGATCTATTAATATTTTTTATACTAATTATACTAACAGCTAATTATTCGAACTATCAATGTTTCTTATACTAATTGCACTAACAGCTAACTATTTTATTTATCACTTATGCATTTGACTGTTGCTTATAATTGATACTTGTAATTCTATTCTAATATGCTTAATTATAAGATCAATCACAACAATTATTTATACACTTACACTTTATATCATAAATATGTAGTTTGTAATTGATTTCTTGTCAAATTATTATATGCTAGCAGTTTGCTATTATTGTTATGCATTTTATATTATGGTGGTATATAGATCATGTGAGGTGCTATATATAAGCATACTGCAGGGTGCGAAATATAGATTTATTCTAATTTTATTTTGTTACAATTTTATTTGTTACAATTTTATTTATTAACTTTATTTATCATAATTTTATTATTTATTAAAACTTTGAATTAGCTTTATTTATTACAAATTTTATTAATTTTAATACTTTAAATACAATTATTATTATTAGGATTAGATTTTAAAATTTTATTAACTATTTACAAAATATTACAAAAATAATTTCTATTCTCATTTTACTGTATTCTCTTTTTTAATTCTTTAATCTCAATTTCTAAATTTGCTACTTAAATTCTTAATCAATTCTTTTTAGTAATGACTTTCTAAAGTCAAGTCTTTTGAAAAAATTCTTCTCTTGCCACTTCCAAAACTGAAAGATTTTTTGCAGATACTTTTGTTCCAAATTTATAACTTGATTATTTAAAGTAATCAAATGACTATAGACTAAACTTTTTTTCTATATCAAGGTATCTAAAGCACAAATTTAATTAAAAACTACTGATTTCTAAATATATAAACTTAAAAAATAATAAAGAAAAAAATTGACAAGACCCTGATTTCAAGAATACAACAAGCAAGGTCTATTACTGTAGAAATAAGTTCTTAACCTACTTATACAAGAGACTACAAGTATCAAAACAAAGAGAAAATATATAAAAAAATAATATCTACTTGGCCAAATATATAGTGCACCAAAGTAGAAGACTAGCCAAACCTCAAGTGCTTAATAAAATAAAACTCGGTATATGGCCAGAACAAGTATATATACTTTTTCAAACAACAACAAGATAAACAACAAGAAAAGCAACGAAAAAAGACAAAAATTTTTCAATAAAACTACAATAAAGAAAAAAGACAAAATATTAGAAAAATTATAAAAACAAGAAGAGGAAAAGACAAAAAAAAATAAGAACCAAAACTATGATAAAAGAGATTTTTAAGATTCAACAATATCAAAAATCAAAGAATTAAATAACAAAAAACTCAATTAGCTATAAAAAGAATACTAGCAAATACATGCAAAAAATAATTACAAACAACAATATGATTGTCAGAACAGAAAATAGACAGATACTTAAACAAATAGAAGCTAATTTTAGATAAATTAGTATATAAAATTCAGAAACCTTATATTTTAAGAAAGAAAACAAACAAAGAATTTGTTATTAATAGAATATTGTAGAAATTTTTATTTTTAGAAACCTCATAAACCAGTAAAAGAAATAGTTCTAAAAGATTAAAACAAGAAATAAATACAAGCATAAAGTCAAACAAACAAAAATTTGTTTGATATTTTTAGAAGACAAAGATCTACTGTATAAGAAAAACAGAAAACAAAAAATGAGCAAGACTTGTAAACTGCAGAAGTTGTGTAAACAATTGCAGTCTTGAAATGATTCTAGATAACTTCTTGAGTACAAACTTTATTTTTAATTTGGATCAATTATATGTAGCCACTACAAACAATAATGATTCTTTTAATCAAATTAAAACAAGTTAATTAGCATAACCTTTAGCCAAATTTTTCTTGTCTCTAAATTTATAACTATAAATATATTGTAGCAATAATATTTCAATAAAGTTTTGAAATATATATAGAAAAGCTACAACAAGAACTACCATATATTCCTGAAAATAAGCTACCATTTTTGGAAGAAAAATTACAAAAAAATATTAGGGGTAGTTTATTTTCGAATAAAAGTAGATTTTGTTAATTGCAAAAAATTTTACTAAGTAAATCGATATGGCTTATTAAATGAAAGTTAGTCAAGAGATCAAAATACACATATTCTGAAACTTTCATATAAATGTGATAACTTTTTATTAATTGACTTTTGATTTTTACTTTGATGAATATAAATTTTAAAGAAATTTTAAAAAATTCATCGAATATAATATGCAAAAATGTATTAATAAAAGGTCATCCAATTTGGATGAAACTTTTAAAATATATATATTTTGATCTCCTGAATAACTTTTACTTAATAAGCTATATCAAGTTACTTAGTAAAATTTTGACTTTACTATAGAGTAACTACTAATAATTATGAAGTAGCTTATTTTCAGGCAAAAGAGATTTTCACGTTTTTCTTCCAAAAAAGGAAGGTAGCTTATTTTCAGAGTAGCTTATTTTCGGGAATATACAGTATCTATAATCAGAAATATACTTTTGCATATAGATACTGCTTGAAAGCTTTATAATTTGATAATTTTTATTATTAATATTATATTAAAGCAAGTCACTACAAACTAAAAAAAAAATCTACTAATTGTTTAATACTATTGAATAGTATAAATATTAAAAGATTTTTACAAAATAAAAATTTAAGGAAGAAAAATGTTACAAAGTAGATTTTTAGAGTAGATTTTATTTATATTATTTTAGTTATTTTTGGTTATTTTATTTTATTTTTTTAATCAAAGCTAGCCTTTTTGGCTTGGACTTTTTATTAGATAAACTAGGGATCACTAGTTGCCGCTAGCGGGCCCCAGATATAGTACAATTCGACGAAAATACACATGGACACATGTACAACTTTAGTCATTATCTATTTAAGAGCTCCGCTATATTACTATAGTTATTCTCCATATGCTATACCTAAGATCCACTTGTGGATCCTCTATTTAAACCCTCTGATCTTGAACCATCCTATACCAATCCAATTTAATTTCACTTCAGGTATGAGGTACATAGTCATTCCATACCCTCCAGGTCTTTGTCAACCCACCTATAGGACAACCATTTCTGGCGCATCCTCGAGGTATCACTTGCTAGAGCAGTCTGATATCCACTATTCCCATAATATCTAGTCTTTTCAGTAACTTATGCTGAGTTCGAGAACAAGTACTTACGAGCCAAGACCACTACCATTACCTATTTAGCCCTTATAGAGTTCACTCAAATCCCAGTATACACATTACAGACTATTTACAGTATCTTTAACTTATCCCAAACTACCAATCCAGATAGCCTGAAAGGGCTGTGACCTGCCTTGGTCTCTAAGGTTGGGTCCTTTTTCTTCCGGTTACTTCTTCGGCGGCCTGGTTGGTAGAGTGCCTTGCCAAACACTTCGGTCTCATTCGGTTTCTGCCAGTTCTTCTGATAATAATCCTTTACATAGTATCATCAAAAATCTGTGCTATCTCTCTATTCGAGACTTGCCAAATAAGCGCCACACTGCCGTATCGGCCCTGTAGCTTTCTGCGATCTGAAGATTATTCATGTAACTCATACATCACACAAAGGCCCCAAAATTTTCTAGTTTCAATGAATTGGTACGATCACAGTTACAGGGTCTCAAGTTTTTCCGGCCATGACAATACTTGCCAAATCTATTTTTCAAAATTCAATTTTCCGTCTTTGGTGGGAATTGAACTTGTACTCAACTGCTTGGGGTGCGACAACTTCACCACTTCACTAAGTCGCCACACCTTTATTTTTAGTTATTATTATCTTAAATATTTGTATTATTATATTAGTTAGATTTATTATATTATTATATATTAGTTTTATATATATTTAGATAGTATATTATATAACAATTATATAGAAACATTTTGATTGGCTGTTGAAACTGTGGTATAGTCATATGACCTATATAACCTGAGATAATACAAGATTATACAAAGAAGTACTTTAGATTACACAAAAGAGTAATACAAGAAAGTAATACAAATTCTTCCAAGTTCATCTATATAAAATTTTCCAAATTTCTCTATACAAAGTCTAAGTATTTTGAATACAAAATCTCTTAGCTTTTCTTTCTTCAAATTCTTCTTCACAAATAACAAATAAATATAAACAAAATGAGTAATATTTATTAGGGTTCCTCAAAATCAAATCAAATCAAATATTGGACTTATTTGAATTTGATTTGATTTAAAAATCTGGATTTGAATTTGATTTGATTTAAAAAATCTGAATTTGAATTTGAT